ATTATTTGAGCCAAACTGATGACAATGCCCAGAAGCAAGATCTCAAAGGCCCAGAGAATGACAGTTTTGTGGTTTTTTTATATATTTGGAATTAAAGAGGGAATGTAAGGAAGATTACACGAAGGTGGTAGGAAGGCAGGCACTGGATTACAGGATGGTTAACAAGATCATGTGCTCCTTTGCCCCGGCCCACGTCGCTCAGGCAGTTGAGTGCCGCCCCCTACACTGAAAGGTCGCCGGTTGATTCTGAGTCAGGTCACATACCCAGATTTCAGGTTTGATCCCTAGCCAGGGCACATGTGGGAGGTAACCTATCAATGTTTTCTATTTCCTGCTCACATTGATGTTTCTCTCTCCTCTCTCTCTCCTCTCCCTTCCTCTCTCTCTAAAATCAATAAAAACATATATTTTTTAAAAAGGTTATGTGCTCCATTAAGGGTGGTTATGCTTCCCAGGGAGTCTGAAAAAAAAGGCTTTTCAAAGGTGTGTTAACCTAGATGAACAGAAACAGTGGACAGAATTTGCTTAAGGCAAAGGTAAACTTTTACTAAAGAAGTTATATGCCTGGGGAATGATTGCGCACTATGACCTGCCCAGTTAGCAATTTTTTATCAGATCACCCTGTAAGTTTACTTGGACTTACCAGTTTTATTACTGAGCTTCCTTTTTGTCCACATTAATGATGAGATATTATCCATTCTTTTTTTCATACTAAGTCTGTGACATTCAATATGTATTTTATACTTACGGAACATTCCAGTTGGGCCTAGCAATGTTTTCGGTGCTCAGTGGCCACGTGACTGGCGGTGCTGGCTCAGACAGTACCGCTCTAGGGCATAAATGAGTAATAGCCCCTCAGTGCCTCACCAGGAGCATTAAGACAGAATGGTGGATTTCAGGCCCCTTTACATCACACCACAAAGGTGCCTCTTAATTCTGCCAGTCCTGCACCAGGGCCTCTGACTCACAGAGCTTAGCAGATAAAGCATGAGTTTTCTATTCAGGCAGGCTTGAGCTCAGATCTTAGTTCTGCCACTTTCTAGTTCTGCGTTGTTGAGCAAGTTACCTAACCTCACAGCTTGTTTGCTGTGTGTGGAATGTTTAAGTCTCCTTCCTTTGCAGGTCCTGGTGAGGACTGAGCAGGAGCCGGCATGCAGAGCCTACTGGCATGCCTGGAATCTCCATGCTGCTAGGCCCCTGGGGTGCTCAGTGTGGACCCTCTGTGCCCCTCCCCTAACCAGCAGCAGTCCAAGAGTCTGTTTGCATTCCTTCTTTTCTGTATTTATCAGATATCTGCTTTTTTGCCTCAGGCCCTCGGCTAAACACCAGCATTTTGACAGAGAACAAGGTAAATATGGTCCGGGCTCTTGCACATCTCAGAGACCAGCAGAGGAGAGACAATAAACAAAGTGTGACTCACACTCAAGTGTTTGTAAGATAGACAGTTCTTTATTTTCTCTGACAATCACCTTCCACTCAGAACACCTATCCTGCCAGATCAGCAAGAAATTCAACCTCGGCCTTTCTCAGGGCTCCTCCACTAGGGTGAAACAAAGGTCCTGCGGTCTTACAGGGTGCCCAGGCATGAGGGAAGACCCACCCCCACTCAGCAGGCATCAGCCTAAATCCATCCTGGCCCATGTGGTCCCCTCAGCATGCTTGGGGCATAGGAGTTTGATGTAGCTGAGGACAAGGGAACTCAGCTTCCCTAGGTCAACCTGCAGACTGCCCCTGGAGGTGAACTGCTTCCTTGGGCAGTCTCAGAGGCTATGTGGCTCTGCTGCTCGTGGAACCCACCAACTGCTAGGCCCCACCCCTTCACCCGCCATTCCCCAGGTCTCCCTTTCTCCTCCCATCCCCCACAACACCCAGCATAATTTTCCAATGGAATCAGGCTTTGGAAACAAACGCAGGGAAGGAAAATCTGGCAGTAAAGCACTGCTTTCTGTCCTACCACAAACCTCCCCTGAAGCCAGGAAACCCAGAGCCCTTGTTAGCTGCTGAAATAAAAGAGAGGAGAAAGGGAAAGGCCCAAAAGGGGAAAACACACAGGAATTGACATTTGAATGAATTTCCCTGCTGGGCAAGGCTAGCCTTGAGCCAGCCAGCACCAGGGAGCCAGGTGGAAGAAGGTTGGAACAGGGTACCCCTGGGGTGGGGGCAGGCATGAGGTTCTGAAATGTGGGAAAATCCAGTATTTGCCTCCAGAAGCTCCCTTAAAAATAAAAAAGGTGAGAAAGGAAAGAGAAAGTGTTAGACACAGACCAGAGGGTGAAGTCTGTGGAGAAAGAGGCTCCATGGGAAGAGAAGAGCTTTATAAGATTTATTTGAGCCAACCTGATGACAACTGCTGGGAAGCAAGATTTCAAATGCTCCAGAGAATAACAGTTCTGAGGTTTTCTTTATACATTTGGAATTAGGGAGCAATAAAGGTGGGAGAAAGCAAGGTACAAGATAGTTAACAAGATTATGTGTTCTCTTGAGGATGTCTCTGAGGGGTCTGAAAAAGAGGATTACTCTGGCATTTCAAAGGTGTGTTAACCTAGCTGCACAAGAACAATGGACAGGGCTTGCTTAAGGCAGAGATAAATCTTTTACTAAAAATGTCATAGGCCTGGGCATGAATGTCCACATGACCTGCCCAGTTCGGAATTTATGATCACATCACCCTGTGAGGTTACTTTACATCACTAGACTTGTCAGTTTTATTACAGAACCTTTTTTTTTGCCCATAAGAGGCAGAACCAGAGGACCCCCAGAGAAGTTTTACAGCCCAGCCTGCCCTCCCCCATGACCAGGAAGAAGTCAGCGTCTGCTTGCATGCTGCTAGGTATGGGGAACTCACTCCCTCCCAGGGTCGTCTCATCCAGAGTGCTTTTTACATTAGGCTTTAGTCTTCCTCCAAAGAACTTATTTCTTCAAATTCTGGTCTTAGACTACATAAAAAAATGTAGTAAAATCAGACCCCCTAGATCACTTATATTCCAGTGATCCTGTGCCAGTAACAACTTCTCCAAGATTTAGTTTCCTTATCTAAAAAATGTGCACAATGCCCAGCCGGCGTGGCTCAGCAGTTGAGCATCGACCTATGGTCCAGGTTCGATTCCCTGTCAGGGCACATGCCCGGATTGCGGGCTCGATCCCCAGCGGGGGCTGTGCAGGAGGCAGCCGATCAACGACTCTCTCATCATTGATATTTCTCTCTCCCCCCTCCCTTCCTCTCTCTGAAATCAATAAAGATATATTTAAAAATAAATAAATAAATAAATAAATAATAAAATAAAATAAAATAAAATAAAATAAAATAAAAATGTGCACAATACTAATACCTGCACGAAAATGTATTAGAGCAAGGAAGGTCGAACACCCAGCACTCAGTGACCTTGGTCTCCCCTTCCCTCAGGGTGAACCAGCCAAGGCATAGAGGCTCTAGAGTCAAGCTATCTGAGTTCAGATCACAGCCAGGCCACTTACTAGTTGTGGAGCCAAGCAAGTTATTTCATCTCTCTGCGTCTCACTTTTACTCCCTAAAAATAGGGATGATAATGGCACCGACTTCAGAAGATTGCCATGAGGTGTCAATGGGTTAATGTGTTAGTCAGTCGTTAGAATAGCACTGGGCTTGAATAGGTGCTTAGTAACCATCCATCATTATCATTATTTCCTCCTTCCTTTCTGGCAATCAGAAGACTGTGGCTGTGGCTCTGAAGTCTTTTCCTTCGCAGGATAAAAGACCATCCTCAGGCAGAGGGAAGGTCACACTCCAGGCCCTCCTCAGGCAGAGGGAAGGTCACACCCCAGGGTGTCCGTGAGCTTCCTCCTAGTGTGGAGGTAGAGCTGAGCAATCCTCTCCACGTGTGGCCTGACTCAGCCAAGAGGAGGACAGGAGCTGTTGCCTCTTGCTCCCCCGACACAGGACACAGTTCTCTTCCTGTCACAGCAGCCGGTACAGAACAGATAAGTCTATAGGCCCCAAACACCCCAGCCCCTAAGAAGGCATAGCTCACTGGAGGCTCTTGCTTAGGGTGGCTTTCCTAGTGATGATAGCCATGAGTGACGTAATCACTGAGGAGAGCAGTGTGGCGTTAACCTCGGATAGAGGCTGTTGATGCTGATGGCGGTAAGGACAGTGGCAGGGAAAACGATGATGTTAGAGACAATGATAGTGGTATTGGTGATTCTTATAGCCATGATTTCATTAGTGATTCTGAAGCATCAGGTGACAGCAATGATGATGATGATTGTGTTGGCTGGTGGTGGGTGGACTATGACAGAAACCATGATAATAGAAGAATAATATTGCTCATTTATTCATAATGATACTGGTGATATGAATGGGGTGATATTTAAGATGATGGGAATAAAGATGATGATGGTAGTTATGGTGGTAATTTTCATGGTAATGTTGGTGATTATTATGATGTTAGTGCCAGTGATGACAAAGTTTAACCACAGGAATTCCATATCCATTTTTTTCAAAACCACTTGGCATGATGAATGTTTTCCACAAATTTATCATGGAGGATGACTAAACCACTAGGAGACAATTGCATGTGACAAGCATATAGTAACTACAGATGAATGAATGATCAAGTTCTTAGCTGTGGTGTTTAAAAAGTCTTCATTGCCTCAGAGGTGTTTCATGTGACATTTTGGAAGAAAAAAAACAAAGCAGCCGTGAGTTGAAGCAAATGAAGAAAATTAATATTTTATTTAACATTGATCACCTAACAATAAATTATGTAGAAAATACATGTTTGAATACTTTTAATTGCTGGACAATAAAATTTGATTTCTTAAAAAAACAAACAAAAAAAAACAAACCCCATTTGTTAAGTACCTATAGGTCAAGAACAAATGGAACACTGCTGGCTCCTGTTGCTCCCGAGGAAGTGACAGAACCCCACCCTCTCCTCTCTCCGAGTTCCCTTCCCCAGCCCACAAGCATCTCTGAGCAGAATGTCTCATTCAGTTGACTTCCCTTGGTTGTGTCTTCCCAGTGTGAAGATCTCTCCTCTGAGCAGAGCCCTGAGGGGTCCCCAGAGAAGCAAGACAGCCCAGCCCAGATTGCACCAGACCTGACGGTGACCCAGTTCATCAAAGGTAGGTGAGCTCAGGCTAGACTATGGGTAGGTGCAGCTGGAAGGACATTTGAGACTGTACCAGATCTAGCCCATTCCTGCCTTTCTTGATCCACCTTTCGTACCTACAGGTCCCTTATGAGCACCATACATACTCCTTGTGAGTTTTTGCTCATATGATCTCCTCTGCTTGGAACATCATTTTTTTCATCATATCCATCAAAATCTTCCTGTCCTTCCAAGTCAAAATCAAGTGCCACTTCTCTTCTTCGCTCACCTAGCCTGGTTTTCCTCCTCTAGGGCTCCGAACCCTAGGGCTTCTAGATCAGCTTAGACCTGTGCTGCATACTTGTCCAGTCCTTCCCCTGAGCAGTGAGCTCTTAAAGGCCAGGGCATGTGCTGGCTCATCTGTGATCCTTCTCCCAGCTACCACTAAGCCTGCAAACAGAAAGCTCTCAGTAAATATTGATTATATTCCTAGGCTGTGGTATGGGTAGAGGGAGCTCTGGGCTAAAGTGCAGAAACCTGGAGTTTTGTCCAGGGTGATTGCTCCTCTTTGGGCCTCGGTTTTCCCATCTGTGCAGTGAGGGGTAGACTCAATGATCTAAGATTCATGTCATTCTGATCCTGAGACTATGAGCTCAATTGATCAGTAACCAGGGTCCATGTTGTAACCAGGAGGTCCTTTCTAAATATTCTGACCATTGATTGATTCCCTTCTGTGAGCCAGGCTCTTGTACAGCCCTGAACAGCAAGTCAGAGACCTGGATTAGAGGCCCGCCCCGACACGGACCCGTATACAGTGTTAGGGAAGTTCCTTTCCTCCCCTAACCTGAGTTTCTTCACATGAAAGATTGGGTCTGTAATCCTTGCTCTGCCTTTCTCAAGGACTATTAGAAAAACCAAATGGGATGATGAATGGAAAGTCCTTTGTGTATTATTTTAAAAAAAACAACTGTACTTATATAAGGTACAATTATTATTTCAATTATTACTCCTGCCCTACAGTTATTATTCTGACTGTGTCTTGGGACTGTAAATTGAGCTGCCTGTGGTTTAAGGGGTGATAACCACATGGTTTGCATCATGTTTCCACTGAGGACTTTTGCAACAGGAAGTTAATTAAGCGCAATTCTTGGGAAACGTTTCCTAAGACATGATGTTGGGATACTGGTAATCTAGGCCCCAGTTCTCCAGCATCCCCAGGGAAAGGGGACATAGACCCCATGAAGCTGGGACTAGAGCTTGGTCCTTAACCTCAAGTCACCCTCAGCTGCTGGAGGGTGCTGGCCCACTGTTCCATGGAAGATCTTATTAATCATTGCTTTGGCTCCTGCCCAGAGAGAAACTGGAGCCAGTCACTGAAACTGAATCCTGGAGTGGGTGTCCTGGGCCAGACTGTCTCTGGTAGTTTCAACTTCCATATGAGCTTAGAGGAAGCCAAGGCAGGGCTGGCCACAAATCTGTGGCTGATCAGCCAACCTGGCTTCTGGGCTTTCCGCTGAGCTCCAGAGGGACAGGTCTGACCCTGAGGCTTGGCCTTGACCATCTGGAACCATGGGGAAAGCAGAGGGAGATGGAAACATGGTCCTTCAGCTGGAGGAGCCCTAAAGACTTAGGGAGACAGTCCCTGAGCTAAGGAAAGCCCCTGTCTGATAGGGGAGACATAGTTCCTGAGCTGGGAAAGGCCCTGGTTGAAGGGAGAGACAAGTGTCTATGCTGAGGCAGGTCCCTCTCCAATGGAGGATACATGGGAGTCCCTGAATGAGGGAGAGCCTACCTGCCTTACCTAATGGAGGAGACCTGACCTCTGTGCTGAAGGAGACCCCTGTCTGATGGGGGAAACATGGTCGTTAAGTTAAGGGAGGTCCCTGACAAGTGGAACAAACATAGTCCCTAAACAGAGGGGGACCTGTTTTATTTGAGGGAGGGTACCTGGCCTCTGAGCTGTGGGAGGCCCCTGTCTCATAAGGGAGACATAGTGTCTGAGTTGAGGGAGGCCCTGGCTTGTCTGATGGGAGAGACATTGCGCTAAGCTAAGGGAAGCCCCAGTCTAATAGAGAAGACACACTTCTAAGCTAGAGATGGACCCTGGAGTTGCCCTTCAGGTATGACCTATCCAAGTGAAAGGCACCGCCCTGCCCTCTAGGAATTTTCCCTCTGTCTTAAGGACAGGCCTCAGATGCTGGAGGTAGGGAGTAAGTACAAATGGGGCCACAGTGATTAGTGCTGAGAGTAGGACAGAGAGTAGGACGGAGACCATTAATAGGTGGAGTCAGGGAGCTAGAGATCGAGGAATGTGGGTTGGGGTGGAGGGTGGAAGGGGGAAAGGCCCTTATACTAAGAGTTAGGAACCTCCTGGCAACTCCTGGCCTTGCCCCAGCCTCTACAGGTGAACTTGGATGAGTCCCTGCCACCTGTACAGCTTGGGCCAAGCCCAGCCCAATCCTGGACAGGGCAGGTCATGGAGAGAGGGAGACTGGAGCAGCTACGGGAGGTGAAGACCTGGCGTCACATCTCCTTGCTTCGAATCCTGGCCGAATGCACTCTGTATGTGACAAGGAACTAGGGACAGGAGGCAGGCTTGGGACATAAAGGATGGGGAATTCCACAGGCCCTGTTCCCGCCTACCCTGCCTGGACTGTTTAGTCTTTATTTTTTGGCTCCCAAGAAGACAGCTCCAGGCCCCTCCCAGGGGGCTAGGGGAATCAGCTGGCTGGACTCTGACCATGCTCTGAGGACAAGCAGAAATCTCCCATGACAGAGCCCTCTGTCTTGCTGCTGCAGGAAGAGAAAGAACCCACCCCACCCACTTGGCTCAGAGAAGCCCCATGGCCATCCTTCCAGCCCAGCCCAGCCCAGCCCGGAGAGTGGCTTGCTATCTGATACCTGTTCTTAGAAAGGCCTTTCCTCCTCTCTCCACCGTACCTCCTGCTGGTAGAAACACACCTCTTTCTCTTTTGTTATTAGTGGGGAGAGAGTCACACAGGTCAGACAGAAGCATTCTTGGCTGTGACCTTGGCAGCCCCTGCTGATGAAGCCCTGAAGCCCAGAGCTTGGGACTTACCCAGTGTTATGTGCCCTTCAGTTTAACAGGCTTGCAGTGAGGAAACCTGCACCCAGGCACCAGTTTAGGGGCCAGCAGGAGACTGGGGAGCTCCTCACTTCCATTTCTGCCTCCATGCATCTGTCTCTGCTGTGCCCCTATTAGGAATCCCTTTTCCTTCCCACTCAAGCTCTTCTGAGCCTCCCATTCCTCAGGCCTCCCCTCCGGGAAGCCGCCCACACCCGGCCCGCTCAGGTTTCACCGTATCTGGAGGTCTCGGCTTCTGCCCCAACATTTTGATATTTGATCACTTATTAGTCTGTATGTCCATTCATTCATTCCCTCACTCGTTCTATAAATATCTGTTGAGTGCTTACTGTGCCCCAGGCTCTGGAAATTCAGCAATTAACCCAACAGACAAAAATCCCCGCTCTAAGTGAAGCCTGCTTGCTGGTGGGGTGACAGAAAAAGTGGCCAACGAGTACGATGTGCAGTATGTTAGGTAAAGTGCCGTGGAGAAGAGAAACATAAACTACGGATGGGGAGCTCAGGGGAGGGGATGCTGTCCTGTGCTGGGGACGCAGAAGGGAGGACAAAGGCCTGGTTGGCTTCGAAAGAGCTAGAGCAGGACAGGATGAAAGGGCCGTGTAAGAAAGAGACGAAGAGAAGTAGCTCGAAAGGAATGAGATGGGGCGGTGGGAACGATTAGACTGGGACGGGACAGCGCAGCACAAGCACATGCACTGGAATTGTGAACAGAACTGGATGGAAAGAAACACAGTTGAATAAAATACAATCTCACCCAATGGGATAGAATGAAACAGCATTTCAAAAATGGACTGGAACTGAGTGGGAAGGAATCATATGCAATAGGATAGAGCTGAATGTAGCAGAATTAAATGGAATGAGACGGGATGGAAGGAACGAGACAGTGTCAACCAAACAGGGCAGGATGGGACAGGAACGAATGACGTGGTTGGCTGCGCACCCTGACCTTCCCCCCATTCACTCCAACAGTCTTCCCCAGGGTGCTGCTGCGAACCCTGCGCCACCCCATCTTCCTGCTGGTGGTCCTGTCCCAGGTGTGCACGTCGTCTATGGTGGCGGGCATGGCTACCTTCCTGCCCAAGTTCCTAGAGCGCCAGTTTTCCGTCACAGCGCCCTACGCCAACATGCTCATTGGCTGCCTCACCATCCCCTCAGCCATCGTGGGCATCGTAGTGGGGGGCATCCTGGTCAAGCGTCTCCACATGGGCCCCATGCGCTGCAGTGCCCTTTGCCTGCTGGGGGCGCTGCTCTGCCTGCTTTTCAACCTGCCCCTCTTTTTCATGGGCTGCCCTACCCACCAGATCGCAGGCATCATCCACCAGCCGCGGTGAGTATGTGCAAGAGCGTGTAAGCGAAAGGGTGGAAGAGGGTGGGACAAGGAAGGGGGTGCCCAGACAAGGCCAGGTCAGTGGGGTACCTCAATCTCACCTCCCTCATAGCCCTGTCTCCTCCCCTCCCTACTGGTCTCAGTTGTGAGCAGTGGGACTCCAGTGAAAGTGTCAGGCAGCACTGGAAGGGGCAGGGATGGAAGGAACTTCACCAGCAGGACAGCTCAGGCCTGCAGAGGGAGGGAGGCTGAGTCAGGGCAAAGCCGCCTGTGGGCATGGCATCTCCAGAATGGACGAGCGCTGTGTGCCAGTGAAGGTGGGGCGCATCTCAGGAGCAGGACCTCGCTCAGCCTAAGGAAGGCTTTGCTCTCAGGCAGAGGAAAGGCCTACCCAGGAGGGAGCAGGCTCTCCATCCCTGGGGTGGGGAGGG